TCGTCGGTGTCTGAATATGGTATAATTACCAACAATGGCAGTGAACTTACTAAGGTAAGAAAAATTTCAATGGCTTACCATCTAAATTAGCAGCAAGATCTCTTCCTGAAGGCTTTTCAACGGAAGTTTCCCCTTCGCCATCACCACCGCTGAAGTGACTGCTCACATTCCAGTCACGGTTATTCATGCTAACATCGTTCAAATGCCCCTTAATGAAAATGAAATTATAAAAGTATATGAATGCAACCATTAACATTATATATTGAAAATACAGTAACGGGGAAAGGCAAAGACCAGCTAAGATAAACAGAATATAGAATTTATTACAATAAATTTATATTTATGAACTGACGCGCCAAAAGCTGGGGTCGGCAAATGACGTTAGCTTCGCTGACACAATTCAACAAAGCGCAAGTCCTTAAAATTTATGTTCGGCAATAAGATGCGGTCAAGCAAATGAATACCATTTAAGTGAAACATTTTTTTGCTCAAAAACCGCTTACCGGTTAGAGCAGGGGACGAGGTAGAGGAAGTTGACAATGTCAAACAATGTTGCCGACATGTCAAAAAGGTAAGAATTTTTCCCAGTAATCGCGCTGCCTGATTCATAGTTCATCGACGGTAAGAACTCATTCTAAAAAATCGAAAAATTTAAGTTTAAGTTTCTGTCGATGAGATGGACAAGAATCAGCCTCTTCAGCAATATTCTCGCTGGAATCCACAAATATCTTAGTGAAGACCTTTCGGTCACGAAAATATCGACTGAGTTTAGAGTCTTCCCAAATGTAAACGTTCCATTCAGTCGAGATACGAAAGCCCAAGAATTATTGTCAGAAATTTTATTTCAGAAGCGCTGGCACAGCTTAAGGTCCCGCTCATTCATCATCCCGACTTCGACAGTTTCAGGTTAGAAATTTTGTAACATGCTCATTCACTCATTATTGATGTATCTCGTGACCAGGGGACTATGAACTAGAATGAAAATGGGCTTGAAGGCGACGAAGTTCATCTAAAGGTCTAGTTGTGCGCATGTTGCACAAGCTCAAGGCAGGTCACGTAACGTTATCACTGCTACGGAGCCAATCAGCGACTGGTCTACCTCTTTCACTTTACATCAATCGTACACCAAACCTTGAAGTACTTGAAGCTCCCCGATTGGCATCCATTAGCGTTATTCGGTTCTTATGAAAACGACTGATTCACTTTTGATGTCTGTACAACGCCACCACCTCATCGCCAAACATTCGAGATCACCATAGAGGTCGGTTTCAGACATCATAATGAAACACGTCCACTTCCATAGAGGAACCCCATCGTCTAAACATTTGTGTCGTACTAATAAACTTCTTGCCACAATTGCGTGCAACCGCCGTGTCCACGCATAAATCGAACAAGAGTGCTAACAAAAAGCACACTGCTGTAATCTAGTGCAAAGCTGAATGTTCATGACTGACAGTCGTTAATACCCGCACGACTCCTGATATCAGCATAAAAAACTGAATGTTTTGTAACAGCTACGCACTAATTCCATACTCCGAGAAGCATGTTCACAGTTTATAGCAAAAGATTCAGTGCTACACTTTTCTCAGATTCGCAAAGCACATGTACACCGCTTCGGCAACTAAACTTGCCTTGTCTCAAACCGCAGCAGAAGAAAACTTGGCATGTACGGTACTTCGATCTACGGTACTGCAGAAGTGGTACTTCGGTCATCCGTCCGCCTTTGTTGAATTTTATTACCCAATATCTCCGGCACCTAACATCTTGGCATAGGGTTTCAGGTAGACTTAATAAGGTAGTATCCAAGTAGCTAGCGTATTGGAACTTTCAAACATTTCAATAGACATCTGTTTGTTCACGCAGAAAAACAAACTGAATTGACAACAGCTGAATAGCTATGCAATTTTCAGGAACTTCGCAGCGTTTCGTTTGTAACCACTGAAAGATCAGTCTTCGTTTATTGATATTCCAATTTCTCTCAAGGTCTTTCTCCTAAGCAGATTTAGGAATATTCACTCCATCGCTGAAGTATATCCACTTACTCTAGAAGGTAACAAACCTGTTCTTCATACTTGTTAGGCTATTCTTCATTTTGTTTCAGAGGTCGTGGACATTTTGCCAAATTACGTTTACTACAAACGATTTCGGTTCCAACTCTTAATGGTACTTATGATATGATCTGCTTCAGCCTGACTTTGTCCGTTACATTTCGCTCTTCTCAACTGATTTTGATCTTAGTCCTATAATCATGGAAACCACATCTTGAACGTAATAATTTTCTTCGAGATATCAAATACAACGGTATATCGAGTGTTGAAATGGATCAAAATCGGTTTCCTCATCTGTCATCAGCTGACATCTGTTCAGACCATTTTGTGATGTTAGCCACCTATGATATCGCCTCCGTATAATACAGGGTTTCTCCATGGCATTCCGGTTCA